AAGAAGGCTTCAGGTTGCAACTCTAAGGCTAAGACTGCGATTTACAATGCTATTGATGCAAACTACTTTAATTTGATTTCTCAATATGCTTCAGCTCAGAAGGTATGGAAGACATTGAAGAGTATGTTTGAAGGTACTACAAGTGTCAAGCGTACCAAGCTGGATATGTTAGCATCAAAGTTTGAGAATCTGAGGATGGAGGAATAGGAAATTGTGACTCAGTTTTGTGCTAAGTTGTGTGACATTTTAAAGTTTTGCACTTGGAAAGCAGTACAAGGACAAAAAGCTGGTGAAGAAGCTGAAGAGATCATTGCCATCCAAGTTTGAGTCAAAGATCTCTACTGTAGAAGAAGCTCACAACCTAGATGAGATGGCTTTTGATGAGTTTGTTGGAATTCTTCAAGCTTTTGAGTTAAGTAAATCATATGGAGAAAAGAAGAGAAGAAAGAAGATCCACATGGAAATACTCTCAAGGGTTCATCTTTTGAAGATTTTATGGTGATGCTGTCAAGAAACCTTGCTAAGTATCTGGAGCAACAGCAAGGCAAAAAGGAGAATGGTAGAAGAGATGGTTTAAGAACACCATCAAGGATTCGATTCTATGAGTGTAACGAATATGAACATGTTCGATTGGAATGTAGAAATTTGCAAAGGCAAACCCAAAAGAAGGACGACAAGAGTGATTCTGATACTGATTCAGATGATGGTGAGCATGTAAAGAATCTTGTGACGTTCAAAACTTTAGATTCTGGTTCTAAGGCAAAATCTGTGGCGGGATCTGCGTCAGCGTCTGTGTCAGGGGCTTCATGTGGAAGTGATGCTGGTGCTGAAAGTGATGATTATGATGATGATGGAAGCTTTGATCTTGGTGAAAATTATGAGAAGCTGTATGAGCATTTGCTCAAGATGGTTGAGGCAAATTCAGAGTTGACTAAAGAAAAAGTCAAGCTAGAAGCTAAAGTGGCTGAAGCACTTAAGTATGCCTCAGAGAAAGAAGAAGAAGCACGATAGGCTGGTGCTCAACTTTCAGAGACTCAGAAGGGTTTGAGGATGCTGAATAATGGGACGGATCAGTTGGATCATCTTCTCAACATTGGGCAAAGTGATCGATGTGGTCTTGGATTCAAAGGTGAATCTTCTAAAGGTGAAGGTGTTTTTGTACCAGCAAGAAAAACTGAGGGTGTAGCTACGTCTGCAACAAAGCTTGAGGTTAAGGGGTTTGCTGGGAATGCAACAAATGGGAAGACTGCAGTAAAGGCTGCAACTGATGTGAAGAATGCGTCTGCTACGAGTACTTCTACAGCGATTGCTTTGGGTAATGTTTTTGATCCTAAGAGGGCATCTGAACAAAAGTTTCGGCATGTTTGTCATCACTGTGGTGTTGTTGGGCACATTACGCGAAAATGTTTCAAAATTGAGAGAGAAGAATCAGATGGAGCAAGGTTATGGTATGAGGTGTCATGGTCCTATATGCTATTCTTATTGAGTTCAATGGCACATTCGACGTGATTGTTTCAGGTATGTTCAAGGAGCTAATCATGGAGGATTATAGCTCAAGAATCTGTGGTCTAAGAGATTTGATCACTATGGAGATGGTGGAATGGGATGTCATCCTCCCTTTGGAGGATATCGATCTTCTCAATAGTTTTTGACCATGATGTGATTCATAGGGGGAGATTGAAGACGTGGTTTTCAAGCTAGTTATTATGAGTGCACATGCATAGTCAAAAAGGGAGAGATTGAAGATGTATATTTTGTGCCAGTTCGTGAAGTACTAAGGAGGTAGTACATGTGTGTGTCATGAAGATGGACTAAGATGGAGTTCGTGGTTTGTGATGTCCATGGGCTTGTAAAGCTTGGAGAATAAGCGATATATTTATTGGGATATTTACATTAAAGATAAATGTATTATTTGAATAGGAAAAGGCAAGAGAGTTATTCTTTAAGAGAACAAGGAAAGTTGCTTAAATTTGTTTTGGAAGAACTAGGGGAGCAATTTGTGGTATCTATACAAGGCGAACATGCTTCTATGAAGAAAGGCATCTTTGTGGCAAAAGAAAAGTCGAGAGATCTTTTTTACTTACGTGATCAAGCTTTTTGGTGTTATTACTCTGCGTTAGTTGTTGACGTACTTGTTGATGTACTTCCCAAGTGTTGGAAAATTAAAGCCTAAATTCACAGGAGTTTAGCTCGAGGTTTGGGTGATCGTGATAAACAAAGTCTAAGCTTTATGGTGAGTTTTAGCTTAGGATTACTTTAATCCTAAATGATTCTTGTAATAGAAAAACTTGGTGTAAGACTTTCTTATTCTAGTGAATTCGAAAATAGAAAACTTGTATCTTGTTTATTTCTTCACTAACAAATTCAACCTATATGTATGGTAAGTTTTCGTTACTTTTGAACCCAAAAAAAATCGAACAATAGTTTCGATAAAGTACATTCAGTTGCAAAATTTATATCAACATTTTCAATTTCTAAATTACAGTTTTCATGAATTTTTTTAAAAAAAATTGGCATCCTATCCTAACTAAAAATTATTTTAGTTACGGCCTCTTATATTTCAAAATGCTAAAAACACAAACTAACTAACTTTACTTATATGTATAATAAGTTTGAATATATTCAAAATCAAACTACGTTAAATAATTTTACTAGAAATATAATTTTAAATTTTTTATTAAAGTTGAAGAAAGCAAAGAATAACATGTAAAATAAATACAAAGTTAGAGTTATAATTAATTAAATCTATACAGTATTCTATCCAAACTATGAAAGTTTGAAACATAATTTATAAGATATTATCTATTTAACTATTAAAATTAATAAATAAAAAATACTAACACTTGAGCGAACTACTCATGAAAAAATAAATTCAAAAAGTGAAAATTACATTAAAAACTCCAACTAAATCTCATTAAATTTTTTTACTATCAAAAATTTTTCGCTATCCAGTATATTACCCACAACTAATTATATTTTATTCATTTTAGTATACAAACTTTTAAAACTCTTCCCCTTTTAATACCCAAACTATATTAATTTTAAATTCAAAAATACTAAGAATTTTTAATTTTTGTAAAAAATCATCCAAAATTTAAGAAAATAATAATAAGATTCTGATTTTATTTTAACATTTAAGAAATTATGTAAGTAAATTAGCGAGAGAAAAAATAAAAATTCAATTTTGAAGGAAAATAAATAAATGTTTTTTTTAATTTCGGAAAACAAACTAAATTCAGTATTTAAACTGAAAAACATTTATTACAAAATTTAAGATTATAAAAAAATTACTTACTTTTATTTCTCAAATACAATGTAAAAATTAGAATTTTATTATTTTGTAAAATTTGGAGATTTTTTTTTTTTGAAACTTATTAGTATTTTAATTAAAATAAACAAAATTTGGGTATTATAAGGGGACAGATTTTTTTTTAAAAGAAATTGTTTTAAAAGGAGAAAATAATTAATTAATTGGTGTACTAAAATGGGTAACAAAAAAAATTTGTATTAAAAAGCTTAACAAAAATTTAGCTGGAATATTTTTATGAAATTTTCTCTTCAAAAATAAATATACGCACTATATATTAATGCTGGCGAACAAGATATCTTATACTATTACATAATATATAACACCAAATGTTATATATATATGTATATATATATAATTATATAAACAAAATATAATACAAAGAGAGAAAAACATCCATGCAGGCGAATAGGAAACTCTTTTAAGAAAAACATTACAACAAAAGTAATGACTGACACTATTTTGATGGAGTATTACAAAAATGATGGTTCGATGCATGATCTCCTTATGGGGAGGTAAATATGATGATGTTAATTGTTTTTTAGAGGTGTTGATTTGTTATAGTATATTCAGTAAATGTGTTAATCAAGTCTCCTATTTTTGTCTTTTTATCACAATTAAATATAAAGATTGATTTTTAGTACGAATTTGCGAAAAGCGAGTTGTTGATATCAATCCAATATGAGATCGAAGTGTTGCTATAGGAGAAAATATGTTTCTTTATGTGAAGATGTCTTGCAAGGAAGTCTGCATGAGTGTTATACTGATTAGGGTCTTGTAGACCACTTTGCTGTCTAGAAAGGTATCCCATTCGTAACTCTTGGAGTTAAAGTTGTAAATGCTGACCAATCTCTTATTTTTATGTCTAGCTCATGAAAAAGATAAATTGTAAGCAAATGTTGGGGAAAAAGTATTATATAGTGGATTTCAAGCATATATAAGATATTACATGATTAAATAATTAATTTATAAATTTAAAGTACATTGAATTTACTATATCTGTGTAGTGAAAACCAATCTAATTAAATATAAAACAAATTTTCCTCCAAATTAAACTGATAAATATTTGATAGTTTTTCTGATTAAAATAAAGATTGGAGAGTTGATAGTAAATATTTGAGCTACATATTTTATATGTATATATATTAGTTTACTTTTCATTTATATATTTTTTTATGTATAAGGGATCATGAAAATCATGGCTGAAGCATATTTTAAGGAGAAAATCTAAATTTTCCTCACTTAGCATGAAAAAAAAAAAACTAATTATATTTGATAATTTGTTGACTAAAAGATACCTTCAATGTGTAGAATGTCTTACACTTGGTCTGTGAAACGTTCCTATTTCATAACAAACCTTGAACACTTTTGAATTGTTTGTGGCATTTATGATAAATGTTAATTAAAAGAAAAAAAATTGTTTTCACATCTCTCAAAGTCTAAAACTAACCTGTGTTCAATGTGTAGAGATTTAATACCTTTTAAAGTTTCATGATATAGTAATATATTATATGCTAATTTGGGTAACGTATTTTGAAAGTAATTATGACGATTAAGTATTCCTCACCTTGTTTGTGTATTGTGTAGAGTATACATGTTATATAAAGATAGCGTGTATAAACCAAACCCCATATGAAAATAGATTAATTTAGAACAAATCCAAACATAAGAAAATTAGGACCCAGTCAGAAAAATGGTAGTATCCGTCTCAGAGAGAAAGCCAAAATCTTCAAAGAAGAGAGATGATCCTCGTATCTTCTTCAGTAACAATCTTTGTTCTATCTTCTTCAGATGTCTTTTCTATCTAACACTTCTCACAGTTATCTTCTTCTTTCTTACATATCTGTCGTTATCTTTTACCACCTTAATATCCAACAACGTCCTTCATATCTGTGTGTCTCGGAAGCTCAACGATCCTTACTGTCTTACAGATGGTTTTAAATCTGTTTTACAAACGCCGACCAATCTTACTACTAAAAAAGATGTTATTGGTAAAGATGACGCAGTTGGCTCTGAAGAGAATGAAGATGGAGAAAAAGCTTTCGGTGATCAGAACAAGAGTCAAGATACAAACTTAAATCATGATAATAAAGATGGAGACATGGGTTCTATACAAAGTTCTACCTTCGCCACAGAGACCTCCAGAGATGGAGTTTCCAGCAAAGATACCAAGCGTGATGGTATGAGTGTTATTTCAGTCGCTGCTCGTAAAACCAAGAACGAATCGGAGGAAGAACAAGACAATTACATCAAACCTAAGAATGATGGAGAGGGATACGCGTTAAGGGCTGTGACAAAATATCTCCAGGTACAAAGATCTTGGATATTAACTAGGAACAAAACAAAAAATTTAAGATCTTGTGAAGGAAAAGGAGTTTACGTTTATGATATACCGTCTAAATTCAACAGAGATTTGTTGGGACATTGCAAAGATATGGTCCCTTGGACTAATATGTGTAGGTTTTTCAAAAATGATGGTTTTGGAGAACCAATAAAGAATCTTGGTCAAGGTTGGTTTATGACACATCAGTATGCGCTTGAACCGATCCTACACTCCAGGGTTTTGAAGCATCCGTGTAGGGTTTACAGAGAAAGTCAAGCTAAGGTTTTTTACGTCCCTTTCTACGGCGGTTTTGATGTTTTGAGATGGCACTTCAAGAATGTTTCTAATGATGTGAAAGACCGGTTGGGGATTGAAGTTTTGAAATGGCTTGGATCGAAGGAATCTTGGAAGAGAAACGCCGGGAAAGATCATGTCTTCGTCCTCGGAAAGATTTCTTGGGATTTTAGAAGAAATAAGCTTGCTTGGGGCTCAAGGTTCCTTGATTTACAAGAAATGCAAAATCCTACAAAGCTGCTCATTGAAAGACATCCATGGGAACTCAATGACATCGCAATCCCACATCCGACCTATTTCCACCCTAAAACGGACAACGATATCACCAGCTGGCAGAATAAAATGACTAGCAAAGCTCGCCGGAATCTAATTAGTTTTGCCGGAGGTGCAAGGCCCGGTAACCCCAATAGCATCCGGTCAACGTTAATCCAACAATGCAGATCACTTTCCGACCAATGCCGGTTCCTAAACTGTTCTAGTGGAAGTTGTGATAAGCCTGAGAATGTCATAAAGCTTTTTCAAGACTCTGAGTTATGTCTGCAACCGCCAGGTGATAGTCCAACTAGGAGATCAGTTTTCGATTCACTAATCTCAGGTTGCATTCCGGTGATCTTTGATCCATACACTGCGTACTATCAGTATGCGTGGCATCTTCCGGAGAATCATAAGAGGTACTCATTGTTTATAAACCAAGAAGATGTGAAGGAAAAGAGAGTAAATGTAGTTGAGAAACTGATGACAAAGACGAGAAAGGAAAGAGAGGATATGAGAAGATACATTGTTCATCATCTTCTGCCTGGTTTGGTCTATGGAGATTCAAATGCTAAATTTGATAGGTTCCGAGATGCTTTTGATATTACTTTTGATAATTTAGTTGAGAAAATCAACAAGGTGGTATAGATCATTTTTGTAATATGTTCTATCAGCAACACCATGTGATTACCATTTTCATATGTTTATTGATATTTTACAGTGACACATTGCAATTAGTATGTTGGTTTACTACACTCGGTTGAATTCATATATGTTATGTTAACAGATTTCACTAACCTGATACAATTTCTGTCCTCAGGTAGAACCGTTGATATGTGTAGTGTTTTGTAGTTTGTCGATACCAATTTATAAGTTCTTTTCATTTTTTTTACTAAAGGTATTTGTGATGTGTTTTTAAATTAAGGACTCCAACTTTCTGATAATATGCTTTATTAGTTGAAAACAGTATATATATTATATATAAAAAAAATCTCCGTTGGTCAACTTATTTTATAGTTTTTTTTTACAGATTTACTGATATATCTTTGTTGAAATTTATTTAATTTTGACAGATTTAGTTGGGATTTGATATACTTGTTCATTCTTTGACTACAGATTTAGTTACAGTTTTACAGATTTTGTAAACCTTTCAATAAATCATAAAAAAAAATATTTGAGCTAAAGCAGTCCAAAATTTTGAAGAAAATCTAAAAGAAAAAAACATGTGATATGTAGTATCTCCTTGATATAAGAAGACCCCGTTGGAGCTCCATTTAGATATTTATTTAATATATATATTTATTATTTTATACAAATGATCATAAAATCGTGTAAATGTGAATCCTCATTTATTAGATAGTCAAATTAAAAATATAATATTTATATACATATGTTAATATTATTTATTAATTAGATTTATTTATATAAAATGTTTGTGGATAAAAAATATAATTATTTTATTTAAACGTCCGTGCTAAATTAATTATATATATAAAAGTTACATATTTCTTAATTATTTAATATATATATTTATTATTTTATAGTATATAAAAGAACAAAAAATAAAAAATAACACATAAAATACTTAATATCTATAAACTTCTTCCTGCGTAAATGAACGGATTAGGTCTGGGCATTCGGATATTCGGTTTGGTTCTGGATAAGAATCATTCAGTTCCGGGTATATCGGATAAATCATTCTTATATCCAATAGGTACTTATGAGATTTTGGTTCGATTTCGGTTCAGTTCCGGATACTCGTTTAATATATAAATCAAATATATATATATATATATAATATATTAGTTAATATGTTAATTTAAATTGTCTAGTATTTACACGCTTATATATTTGTCAATCCAATAAGAGTTTGAATTAATAAAGTGTTAATTTTATATTTATTGGATTTTAATATAATAATACTATATATATTTATAATATAAGAGAATAACTAAAATATAATGTAAAAATGTACTTACTCTTTGTATCCAACTTAGGTTCAAGTGGGTTTGATGTCATTTTATCTTATATTAAAAAAATTTAACTTTTTTTTCTGATATTCGGGTACCCGTTCGGATCTCGGTTCGGCTCCGGTTCCAGTTCAATTTTTCGAATATAGAAATATAGGAACCATTCGGATATTTAAAAATTTTGGTTCAGTTTCGGGTATTTCAGTTCGGTTCCGGTTCAGTTTTTCGGTTCTGGTTTTTTTGCTCAGGGCTAGCACGAATATTAACTTAGTCTCTTTGATATAAGAAGACCCCGTTGGAGCTCCATTTAGATATACGTTCCCTGTTTGATAAACGGTATCGTGCAAAACAAACCAAACCATGCAAATGAATCAAATATTTTGGAAGTGGCTTGTGAGAACTTAACTGTTACAACTTTAAATAAAAGAGTTAATTACCTAGGGAAGAAAAAAGAAAATGTTTTAGAGAAAAGGCAAAAGAAATAAAAGTTCTAAAAATCATCTATTGTTGACTTTAAAAAAACAACACAAAAGAAGAAAAAACCATTTATAAGGGTTTTAGACATCTAAAAAAAATCCTGATTGGTAAAAAATGGTTTTAAAAATTTTCTAATTCTGCAAAACCTCCAAAGTCTTAAAGCCAGTTGTCGGACGAGCTAAAGGGATTTGCTTAATCGTTTATTCTTGAAAACCTATTCTCTGGAGCTGCTAACCAAAATGTTAGTGAGATTTACAATAAATAATAAATCTTATAAGAAAAGGCTGTTAACTAAAATGTTAGAGAGACTTACAATAATATATAGATCTTATAAGTTTAGTTTTCTGACATGTGTAATCCAATCTGGATTTAACATGTATGAGATGAATGCACAATTTTTTTTTGTCATCAATTTAACAGAGATTTTATAAAGATTCTGCAAACTACATTGGTAACTTTACATCTATATGAACAATAAAAATGATTGTTTTTTGGCATTGTAAGCTATCAAATAAAGTTTTATATTGGAAATTTAGAAAAAAAAGTGTCTAATATATAAAGAATAGTCAAATTCTAGTTATGTCGAGGCTTTTTGGGAAGGAAACGATAAGTAAATCCATGCAAATTTATCTCTAACGACGTCTAAAGAGAACAATATCGTACTAATCGGACAAGAAATAGCTGGACATGCACTCACACAAACCCAACAAGCACTTCGCGCTAAACTGTCATCTCGATATTTAGTATTTGGGGAATATGAATGATCTATGAGCGATTTTTTTTCTTTTGAAGAATCTTAATGTCTTCAGAATAGTTCGCAAAGGCTGACCATTCTTCTGGTGCAGAAATATTTTCACCAACTAAATATAATCCGCCGCAAAAAATAACATGGTATTGATGTAAGTTCCTCATACTCTCTATTATCCATATGAGAGTTTCTATCTCTTAGTGTAATGGTGAGAGGATCGCTCTCGTATTTCTTGCTCCCATTAGTTCCTCAAAGCCGTGTAGCATCCTATACCAGCAATGTTCCAAAAATATTTCCTGAGTTTTCCATGATTCATCCGTAGAATCGAAAGTAAATTAATATCTCCGGTCCCATGTAATTCTGGGGTTGCATTAGTGATTGAGGCATTAGCCTCTGACCAGAGTAAAGATCCAATTTCTGTCAATTTCAGCATATTTTTAGGATCCACATCGATATTGCTAAAAACTTTTTTTTTCCTAAATATACCACAAATCTATGTAAATTGATGATCTTTCACATACAGGGACGTATTTCAGTATAGATAATCCATGTTTGTGAACAACGCTTGAGAAGGAAAAAATATGGATTTGATGGGGTTTTAGAGAGTGCCCAAACTTGAATCCTTGGAGGACATTAAAAAATCAATGATTAATTGATTCTTCGCACACCAAACATCATTTTGCATACCCCTAGTCCGCAGATGTTTCTTTACTGATATACAATCCGATACTAACTGTCAAAGAAAATATTTTTATTTTTGGTAGACATCGAATCTTCCAAGAATAAGATAAAAAGATGACCGTGGGTCCATACGCCGGCGACACTATTTCTCTTTCTGGGTAAATCTTTTTTATATGATAATCCGATTTTACCTTATATTTCTCATTAGTGATAAGTGCCATCCATCTTGATCTGCTATCCTATACCTATTTAATGATATAGTTTCTATAATCTTCACATCCTTCGGTTTTACCAATGACCAAATTATTTGAAAATTTCATGTTTGTAACGTTGAATTGATGGGAAAATCCATGGTGAAATGTGGGTAGAGATTTTATTGGTTACAATTTGCTAATCTCGGACAAATGGTTGAGAGTCAAAAATCATTTTATATTTAATGCACAAATCTGATGGTCATTGACAAAAAAAAAATATAAAAAAAATTGATGGCATTTCAAGGTATTTTCAAACAATTTATAAATTCTTTTTAATTTTTTTATGTAATATTTCTCCATTGTAATAATATAATTAATCCGACGTTAAAAAAAAAGGTATTGTGATTTTTTTCAAAAAATTATAGACTGCAATTAACTGTTAACTTTCTGATAATATACTTTAGGGAAATTTGCCAAAAAGAAACAAAATAACTCCTTCTATGTCCCCTTAGAATCATTTTGGTATTTCTTATCCACTTAGTACTAATATTAATGCTAACCCAATTTAACCCCTCAGATTACACAATTAAATTATTTGATTAAACTAATTTTATTTACTTATTGTTTAAAATATTAATTACTATTAGAATAAGGATTTTTAACATAAAAACCCCTCAACTAAGTTTGTTTTGGGTGAAAACCCCTAAATTAGGTACTTAATGAAAAAACCCACGAACTAACTTTATTTAGTGAATTAAACCCTCGCCGGTCATAATTACCTGTACTGGTAAATCTCCAGTTTAGAGGTTTTATCATTAAACATAAAAATCAATAAAATACAAAATATAATAACATTATCTAAAAATTCGTAATTTTAATTTTCAAAACTTGCATTTAAAAAAAACATTCTGTAACTATATGAGTCTGGTTTGTTATCCTTTTAAAATCAAAATTATATATGTATAAATTTAAAATGTAAAAACCAAGAAAATATAACAAAAATTATCTAAAGATTTACTTGTAATAAAAATTATCAAAAGTTATAAATATAAAAACAAGAAAACAGAATAAAAATTATATTTTATTTAATAAAAAATGTAATAATAATTTATATGATTTTTATTATATTTTGGTGTTTTAAAATTTTAATATATATATATATAATGTTGATGTTAAAACAAATCAAACTCATATATTTACAGAAAATTTGAAAAATGCTAATTTTAAAAATTTATGTTACTAATTTTTAGATAATATTATAATTTTGTTTTTAGATTTGTAACGATAAAAGCCCTTCAACTATCTTTAATATAGGGGTTTACTTGTTAGTTTGGGGGGTTTTACCCAAAAAACTTAGTTAAGGTATTTTAGAGTTAAAACTCCATTTTACAAGGATAAGAAATCACGCATATATTTACAGAAATTTTTAAAATGCTAAATTTGAAAATTAAAATTACGAACTTTTAGATAATGTTATTATATTTTGTTTTTTTTTTGTTTTTTTTATGTTTAATGATAAAACGGCTAAACTAAAGATTTACCGGTAGCACTGGTAATTATGACAGCGAGGATTTAATTCACTAAATAAAGTTAATTTAGATGTTTTTCATTAAATACTTAGTTTAGGGGCCAAAACAAATTTAGTTGAGGGGTTTTTATGTTAAAAATCCTTAGAATAACAGACGAAAAAGCTCTCTATCTCTCTCTGTATCTTTCATGGGAGAAGAAGAGATGAGAAACTTCATCTTTCATTCAGTCTTCTAACTGAATCGATGTTTTTTTTTTTTGTAAATAATTTCGATCTCATGATCGCTTTTATCTTTCGCATGGCGATATCACGCTTCGCTTAGGTGATTTCTGGTTAGAAATAAATCCCAATTTAGATTGGGACTTTTGTTTGTGTTGTTTTTTTTTTAATTCGGTTTCCTCCTTTCTTGATCTATTGATAATCCCGTTCGTTATTGGAGGTTGTTCATATTTTCGTGAGTTATACCGATCTATTACCCAGCAAGGAATCAATCTTCGCCTACAAATACTTGGGCGGAGTATCTAAAGCTGATAAGAAATCGAGTTGATTGACCAAGCGACGGAGGGATGATGCGGTTTCAGATTAGCCGGAGTTCTCTCTTGATAACGTTCCGGCGAGACTCTGCGTTATATCTCCTTGAAGCTTCTCACCGAACTTATATACTTGCGTATTGATGAAAAATCTGAAAAGATCAACGGGAAAGGCGGAGCGGTCAAACCGTTCAGCTAAACGGAGATAGAGGTTCACTGAAGGTTTCTAATACATCAACCCTCAAAGCTATGCATTTTATTTACAGATATTTGATTTTTTTAGTCTCAGTTTTGTACAGCAAAATGAAATATGTAACAAATGAAACATATTTGATGCTAAACTGATCCTAGAGAAACTTTGGGACAAGCGTCTAGTGTTTGTTAGAGTTGCAGATGTCTTGGTGTTCAATACAGAACAGTGGTGGAACTACGGCGTAAGTTTGTCGCAGTGTCTCTGATTATTTTGTTTCAGTGAGCAAACATTGTCGAATCTTGTTTGTTACTAACAGTACCTGCTGCTTCATTGTATGAAATAGGGGAGGAGACTGGAGAACAGGAGGAACATGTCACATGGAGACATTGTCTGATATTGCAACCTCATTGGTTTCATAGAGACATGGGAATAATTAAAGGTCCTCAGATATGTGTTATCACATACTCCAACAGATCAGAAACCGTTCCGATGGAAGTGTTAAATTTTACAGCCATGTCTGCTCAAAGAAAAGATGGTCACCCAGAAACTGCACTGGAGTGCTGCTGAGTTAGTCATCAAATATCAACTTCTTCAAGTTCCTTTTTGGCTTAGAGATGATCACCTATGGTTCTTAATTGATTGCAGGTACTCTCATTTATCATCAACACATGATTTCTTTGAGATGGAGATGATGAAATTGCACATATTATCACTAACCAGACAGCAATGGGCAAAATGGATTGAATGTAACAAGTTTTGGTTTACAAAATGTGGGTAACAAGTTACGCTAATAGATGAGTAGAGATACACATGTGGTCTTGCTTATGTTGTATCATGTTCTTACTATTATGAGATGATGGGAATGGGATAAGTAGTCATTTGAGTCTATTATTTATCGTGGAATCACTGCTGCTTTTCAGTTTTTATTTGACCAAAAGTTCAAAACCATGAGTTATCCAGCTCAGTTTAGCGAGTAATAAAACTTAAACTTCAACTTTCTAAAACAAGTTAGAACCTCTCCATCGCTAAAGTTGGTGAGTTGATGCTATTCATCAAATCTGAAGGTAACTAACTCAGTTCGATATTGACCATGTTTAGATCAATTTCAAAGTCTTCATACACCATCAATTTTAGGCGGTCAAAAGTTGAATTTATGTCCACAATTTGTAACCTACCTCCTTTTCCTCCATCAACAACAAATTTCCATACGGATGATTTCCACGAACCACATGAAGTATAGATGTGCATCTTCATCTGTTAGATAGATAATAGTATGGAAGTGGAAGAAATAGAGAAGAAGAAGAAGTTTTGTTCACAATGAAAAAGGAGAAATCCCACGTTTAAGATAAAAAAATATTAAAAAAAATAAATAAAAATATTTAGAGAGACTAAATGAAGCGTGAAACAATTTTACTAAATAGTTTAACCAGTAGATACAATAATCCCACAAGCGCAGATTAAATGAAAAGTTTTAGAATATATGTTCTTTCAAGGTAGAAGTATGAAACAATTTTACTCAATAGTTTAACCAGTAGATACAATAATCCCACAAGGGTAGATTAAATGAAAAGTTTTAGAATATATGTTCTTCCAAGGTAGAAGAGTGAAACATTCGTATGTGTTATGTTCTACTAAAACTTCAGAACAAAGAAAGAATGCCAAATATCATATTCTTCTTTGGTAGATGTAAATTTTTTTGGTGTTTTACCAATTCTACTGTTTGTAGATCAATTTCCTATTAATAGATTGCACGTTCTAAACAGTCGTAGATGGTAGATTTGATTTACTACCCCATTTACCTTATTTTGAAATTATTGTTCTAAACATTTTTTGAATGTAAAAATATTTTTTATATATTCACATGCTTATTTATTTCATGTTTTATATTTTTCCTTAATTTTTTTCTTGTATATTTATTATTATGAATTTTTATATACAAAAAGTGATAGTCCAAAAGTGACAAAATTTGATTTCATTCTATGGAAACAATAGTTGTGTTTTTTTGTTCTTTTTTGGAAAATTTCCCTATACTTTATTAGTTGCACAACATTATATAGATAGTTTTTTATCTACAATTTTATGATGGACAGTAACACATGAACGTCAGTTTATATTGAAATGAATTGATGTAGGTACTTTTATAACTTCTTAGAATAAGCAAACTAATGAAATACTTACAGAGTATTTGGTTATATATTTGTTCAGTTGTTATATGAAAAAACAATTCAACGTATTTTGATTTGGAACACATTCTAAACGCCATTGTTCAGAAAAAAAATAAACACACTGTAAACGCCGAACTTTATCAAATTATCAAACATGTATATGCTCGTTTGGGTGTAACACGTAAGATACTTTTGCCGTTTTTAAAAAATGAATACGGCACGATGTTTTAAAATATAAAGCAGAAACATCAAACAAATTTTCTTCGTGTGGACACTTCTTTCCAGATTATCTATCACCTTGTGAAACATTCTGATCCACAGATCACAAGAAGAAGAAGAAGAAGACGATGAAGCTGAAAGTGTATTCTGATCGTATGTCACAGCCATCTCGTGCTGTAATCATATTCTGCAAGTAATTCTTCATCATTCCTGTTTAATTATGGAGATTCACTTCTTCTATTTTTCAATAATCTTATACTTTGATGCTTTTTTTTTGTTTGGATTATACTTTGAATTAAGGGTTAATGGAATTGAATTCGATGAAGTTTTGATTAACTTGGCGAAGCGTCAACATTTGTCCCCTGAATTCAAAGGTTCGTAGAACTAATCCGACATGAGTATCTTTAGTTTGAGTTTTGGTGAGATTTATTTTCAGTAGATCTTGGTCTGTGTGTAAAAGATACATAGTGTAGAATAAGGCAATACACTAGTGCAAAATCTTCAAGCATATCAATTTGTTTCTTGTAGCCAATAACAAGAACATGAATCTAACTCGTGTCTTGTTTCTCAGAGATTAACCCATTGGGAAAGGTTCCAACAATTGTTGACGGAAGATTTAAGCTTTTTGAGAGGTTCACACATAAAACTTCCTTCTCTTTTACACTCTTGCTTTTTTTGAATTTATATATATTAACGTTGAAGTAATTCACCCGCAGTCACGCCATCTTGATTTATTTTGCCTCTGCATTCCCAAGTATAGCTGATCATTGGTAAGTGGCATTTTGTTCTTGACACATGTTCTTAAATACCAAAGTGTAGTTGATTTTACTAGTGACTGTGTTCTCCCGTTAGGTACCCGAACGATCTTTCCAAGAGAGCCAAGATTCACTCTGTCTTGGACTGGCATCACACAAATTTACGCCCTGGTGCAGGTAAATACACTCTAGTATTCATATTCGTTATGGTGTCAATTTAGACTGACCAGCTTCATGTTTTTTTTTTTTACTATTTCAGCTGGATATGTACTGAATACTGTTCTAGCTCCAGCTCTTGGCCGTTCTCTGGATTCGGAAGCAGCTGCCGAATCTGAAAAGATACTAACCAAGTCTCTGTTCAGTCTAGAGACTATTTGGCTTAAGGGAAACGCTAAATTCTTGCTCGGAAGCTACCAACCATCCATAGCTGATCTTAGCCTTGTATGCGAGCTTATGCAGCTCCAGGTACCCAAACTTCCTCTTAGAGTTTGTATTTCACTTTAAAAACTAATCCAAAGTGGCTTTTGCAGGTTTTGGATGAGAAAGATCGTCTTAGGTTGTTTAGTCCTTACAAGAAAGTTGATGAATGGATTGAGAATACGAGAAAAGCGACACAGCCTCACTTTGATGTGGTTCATAAAATCCTTTACGGAGCCAAAGACAAATTTGACAAGCAGCGGAAGATGGGAGCAACCATATCTAAACCGGGTTTTCAATCTAAGATGTAAGAAAAAAAACTTGTATTGGTGACGGTTTGTGCAAAACCGGTTTAAGGGGTCAATGTAATAACTCGGTTCAACATTGACATTGTAATCGAACCAAAGGATGTTATAATAATCACTTTCTCAGGGCTTTTATAAAAGGTAAAATTGCATTTAAATCATAAAGTTGAAGTTGATAAAAATTTGAACTTTAAATTTTGAAATTTAATTGCTAACTAGATTTTGACCCGCGCTTCGGAAGCGTGGGTATGTTTCATGTGACATTTATTTTTTATTATAACAAATGTGTTTTTATATAAAATGTATACCAAGTGTGTTAATGATTTTAGTTAGAAGTTGATTTTTTATGTTTACGTTAATTTTTAATCTATACAAAATGTTTGTGTTGTCAAAATGCTGTTTTTTTTTCTTTTTTAATCTATGTAATTGGTAATTTTTATAAATTATATTAATTTGAATTAATTATACAATTATGATTTTTAAATAAGATTATATAATCTATTTACAATTTTTTGATTCTTATGTTAATTTAATCTATTTTTTGGTAATTTTCATAATTTATATTAATTAGAATTAGTTATACAGTTATAAATTTTACCAAACTTAATAATAAAATTTGAATACAAATAATATATATGAATTATTTGTACCAAACTTAATAATAGGCTGTAAAATTTAAGATGAATTTCAATCCAAAATAATTTTAAGGACCCAATATTTTAAAACCTTAACAAATAATGGGCCAAATCTGGGAAACATACGATGGGCCTATTTGGTTAAACACAATACACAAATATGTTGTTTACCGACAACATCTGATTTTTTATTACCAACAAGTATTCGCTTTGAAAAAAAAAAAAAACGTCTCTCTCTCTGGAACCAGAAAGGCGATATATCGATCTAGATCCACCGACAGAATGTTGTCTTCTCCGATCTCTTCTTACATATAATACACCACTTTTCTTTTTGATAATATACACTTAGTAGTTCTAAATCGATTACCTTTAAAGTTCGATCTTTCTTTCTAAGTTTTGTATTTCATTCTTTTACAGATCTTGTCTAATTCAAGATCTGAATCGAGAAGGATAAATCGAAGACTGAGAGATGAGCCTTTCCAATCTATACAACGAAATGGTATAGGTAATCTCGACATCCTATGTGTTGTCATTTAACTGAACCAATTATACCATTTTATAGGCAACAGCTCTATGTGTTGTCTTTAAAAATGAAATAAATATTTTCGTTTGTAATTTGTCCCAATTTCTTAAACTTAACGAAACTTCATCAGTAGGACAAATAAAAAAGAAAAACCAACTTAAGTAGAAAAAACCGTGTCTTAATATAATTATTGAAAGCAAAAACCGAACATAAGTAGTGCTAAATTATGCATAATGGAAAAAAACACATGAAACCAACTTAATTATAACTGAGTCTTCAACGTTTTTTATTAGCCTCTTCAACCTTCTCAATCTTGATCGACATTATGCATGGTTTCTTGGATGTTGAACCGAGGTCATCCTGGTCAATAATCTCCTCATCTTTTCTCTTACTGGATGGTGTAGAAAAATCATCCACAGTTTCTTGACTTTCACTTATGTTGATAGAATCCTGTAGACAATTCAGTATGTTATCTATACTAACATAAGATCAGTTAAGTTTCACACAATAATATTGATCAGAAATTAGACAATGGTACCTCTCACCACTGGTAATTGTCAAATGCTTTTTGGATTGAATTTCTAGGATTTTCTCAAGAACACAAGTCATTCTGTCTTTATAGACTTTCCCCACCTTATATATTTCAGCACCATATGCAACATTTTCTTTCTCAACATAGACTCCAAATGTGAAGTTTTTGCCAACCAAATCAGAAATACAATCTGGTACTAAGGTTGGATCGTCAAGCTGCATAAATATAAATATAGTATGTTAATTTCATAGCATATTTAACAACTGAAAAAACGTAAATTAATATGTATCAATAAAAATACCTCATCCCAACTTCCATTCAACAGTGTTTCTGGACTTTCAGAAACAATCCCATTAGCAACCTTATCTAATATCATTATTTTCGAGACGCATGTATCATCACTAACGATTAAGTGCAGCCAGAATCTGTACAAAGGAGCATAACTATGTATTACATATATTATATATATACTCGATATAATATGTACCTGAAGTAAGTTTGTGAAACATAGCCAGTATAAAATTAATTTAAAATCAAACCTTGGTAAAACTTCAAAGACATTGTCTTTGCATGTCTCGCACCACTAAATATGAGTAATGATCTCTTTACCACTCAAGAGCTTAACTTTGGTTCCAGTTTTGATCACTCTTTTGTTGCAAGCTTTACAACCAAAATAATACCATGACCAATCCATATCAATGGCATCTACTGTGCAACTCACCAAGCATCTATCGACCTACAGATAAAATGCATTTAACAAAATCTAGTCTTTAAATATATCAACAATGGTGTAACTCGTAAATGACTCATAAAAACTCTTAATTGAGATGATGTTATCATTTCTAAAATGCTCTTAGTGGGAAAGAGCAACCACTTATCACGATGTCCTCGCGTCAGTAACTGACCAACTTGGGTGTTGCTGTCCTCATGACTGTCCTGGTTACTCTGGATAGATGTTAGAGTTTTTTCAGACTCATTGATCCTATTACAATTTCAAAGACTCTTATTTAACAGTAATATTAGTAGTCTCTGTGTCATAAATAAAATAGAGAATACTAATTACAAATCCTTAAATGCTTCAGCTTCAGGTATTGGAGGGTTGATCATCATTTGAGAAGCATCAAATGCATTAGAGATATGCAATTCTCCTATAAGGTACAAAAAATGATACATCTAAATGAATCTTTTATGCAGAATTAGTTTGTATCAAAATGGACTGAGTGTAAATATGTATCTCTAAATTTACCAAGCTTAGCAAACCTCAGCAACATAGTAACCATTCCATCTTCTTGGTTAATTGCAGAATGGAGTTTCTCGGCCAAGTTGCCCCAGATGCAGCAGGGTAAACGTGAATCACTACAAATATAAGTTAAGATATGGTTAGTGATATAATATTGGTTAATGAGCACACCATAAGCGCTTTGACTTACTTTATGTCGGTTAGAGTTAACTCAAGCTTTTTTCGTTGCTTTCCTCCAGCACACTGAATGGTTTCGACTGGACCACAATCCATAACTTGACCAAGAACATCTGCAAAATCAGGTATATGTTTACATTAGTATATAATACACTCGAGATAGCATGAAACATCTAAAAATTTTTATGCTTACCAATCAATAAATTGTCATCCAGACTTCCAGACAAAACAGATTGAAAGTCGGCCAAATCCAGGTACAAATCTTCATTAACTCTATTAGATCGTGTAACGGCCGTGTTCTGATTGAAAACCATCTTCCAGGAATGATTTGTGGTTCGATAAGCTCCACCAGCAGGAGTAATCTGGAAATTTCGGAGGTAGCGCCATGCTCCAACTGTAAGAAGTCTTTTCTTACTTTCAATGTAAGTCCTTTTACATGTTGCATGGATTTTTTGCCCCTTAAACATGTAAAACAAAAATATAGAAACATCAAATAACACTCGAAAAAATGATAAAGAACGGAATGATAAATACAGGAAAAATAACTTACAGTCTCATCAGCGAAAACGAACTCCATGGTCTCCACGGATTGAATGTTTTGTTTCCAAGTGTGTAAAACCTTTACATGAACCAACCATGTGTTTTTCCATGGTTTCAAGTCGTGTAAAAGGACCACTTTATCATTAGAACCTCTTGATGCTTGGATTTGCATTTTAGTAGCCATTGTTTTGTTTATTGTTTTGTTTGAAGGTGTGTAGAGATAATCAGAATAGAGTGATGTCTATTTATAATATAAGGGACGTGCTTAGGTTTTAAGAGCAAACTTGGGGAGAAAGTTGGGGGATATTCTCTATAGTAATGAATATTGATTAGGATTAGTATTTGGGAAATCCATAAATATAGGTGAACAAAATATATTATCTGCTTAAATCGCCCATTTAATATTGAATATTGATTAGGATTAGTATTTGGAAAATCCATAGATATTCTCTTTAGTCAATAAATTTTGAATCTTACCCGAATATATATGAGTATCCCAATATTATTGTTATTCATAATATTATTGTTATTCATAATCTTACTCGAAATTATCAGTTGTTTAACATGGGTTTCAGTTCTCGGAATTTTCATTATTGTGTGAATTTGCATAACATAATTTGTTTATTTAAGAACTAAGATTGTATGCATTAGTATTGGATTAATTTGAATAGATTTAGTATTTATAAATCAAATTTCAGTTACTGTACATAAAATAAGGTTAGGGAACTGGATTGTAGATATGGTTTGCATAGGGTTTGAATAGAGTTTAGGGTATAGGATTTATTTAAGAACTAAGATTGTATACATTAGTATTGGATTAATTTGAATAGAGTTATTATTTATAAATCACATTTCAGTTACTGTACATAAAATAAGGTTAGGGAACTGGATTGTAGATATGGTTTGCATAGGGTTTGAATAGAGTTTAGGGTATAGGATTATCTGAATAGAGTTTAGGGTATAGGATTATAACATTTGAAGATGTTATTGCCCATTTGCAGATCCGAAATATTGAAGCCTATTTCGTGAAGCCCATTTAATATTTCGTGAAGCCCATTAAATAAAAAGAAAAAGTCCAGTTTTACAATATTTTAGAAAATGAAAGAGGCAAATCTTGTAATTTCCTAGAAAGTTCAGGGGTAGAAACCAAAACAGTCATCTGCTTTAATAGTATAGATACTTTAAAACAATAAAACTAATATCAATAATACCAGATTAAACATCGAAATTAATTTATTTGTTTCAAAAGTCAAAACTATGATTGCCGATGTTCATTGAAAAAATTGTGGAAGTGGATCGTGGTCTATCCAATTGGGTTTTGGATCGTCAGTAGTTTTTATGTGCGATGTGGATCGCGGCATTTTTTGACCTGACGAAAATTTGTTAGAAAATATGTAAAATACCTTTATCTACCCAAATAATCACGAAAATACCATACAGTCCTCGCATGTGAAAGGCTTTCTCTCTTCCCTAAATAGACGAC